ATCGCCCACTGTTGTTTCTTCTTCCTCTCCGGATCCTTCACCAGAGGCTCTTCCCATTGCTCAAAGAAAAGGTAATCGTACTACTCGTAACCCTTATCCTCTTTATACTTTTTTGAGCTATGACCGTCTTTCTTCACCTCATTTCACCTTTGTTTCTAGTCTTTCTTCTATTTCTATTCCTAAGACCACAGGTGAAGCACTTTCCCATCCAGGGTGACGCCAAGCGATGCTTGATGAGATGACTGCACTTCATTCCAATGGCACTTGGGACCTTGTTTCTGCTCCTCCACAGAAGTCTACAGTTGGTTGTCGCTGGGTGTTTACTGTGAAAGATGGACCTGATGGCCATGTTGATCGACTCAAGGCCCGCCTAGTTGCAAAGGGTTTTACTCAAATATTCGGCCTTGATTATAGCGATACATTCTCTCCGGTCGCTAAGATGGCGTCAGTTCGCCTATTTATTGCTCTTGCTGCTATTCGTCACTGGCCACTCCTTCAACTTGACATCAAAAATGCCTTTCTTCATAGTGATTTACAAGAAGTTTATATGGAGCAACCACCGGGTTTTGTTGCTCAGGGGGAGTCTGGGAAGGTGTGTCGTCTTTGCAAATCCTTATATGGTCTCAAGCAGTCTCCTCGAGCATGGTTCAGTCGCTTCAGTTCTTCTGTTCAGGAGTTTGGCTTAATTCGCAGTAAAGTTGACCACTTTGTGTTTTATAGGATCACATCTCCTGATAAGTGCATCTATTTGTTAGTCTATGTTGATGACATCATCCTCACCGGGAGTGATCAGGTTGGAATTGGTCAGTTAAAACAGTATTTATTCAGTCAATTTCAGACAAAGGACCTCAGAAAGTTGCGTTACTTCTTGGGAATTGAGGTAGCACAATCTAGACAGGGCATTTCTATCTGTCAAAGGAAGTATGCCTTGGATATCCTAGAAGAGACTGGTATGTTGGCGTGTAAGCCAGTTGACACACCCATGGATCCTACTATCAAATTACTACCCGGACAAGGAGAACCATTATCTGATCCTGGACGTTATCGGAGGTTGATTGGGAAGCTCAATTATGTCACTGTGACTAGGCCGGACATTTCTTTTGATGTTAGTGTCGCTAGTCAGTTTCTTGATTCTCCGTGTGATTCTCGTTGGGATGCTGCTGTTAGGATCCTTCGTTACATCAAAGGAGCACCAGGGAAAGGTTTATTATATTCAGATCAGGGAAATACAAAAATTTGTGGTTATTCAGATGCCGATTGGGCAAGAGCACCCTCGGATAGGCGCTCTACTTCAGGCTATTGTGTTTTTTTTGGAGGAAACCTGATTTCTTGGAAAAGTAAGAAACAAACTGTTGTTGCCCGATCTAGTGCAGAGGCCGAGTATCGTGCAATGAGAGTTGCTACCTGCGAGCTAATCTGGTTAAAGCAGTTGATTCGGGAGCTCCATCTTTGTGAACAGAAAAAACCCATGACTCTCATTTGTGACAATCAAGTTGCACTACATATATCCTCTAATCCTGTATTTCATGAGAGACCCAAACATATAGAGATCGATTGTCATTTCATTCGAGAAAAGATTCAGTCAGGAGAAATCAAAACGGAATTTGTCAACTCCAATAATCAACTCGCGGATGTCTTCACTAAAGCTCTTAGGGGTCCTCGGGTTGAATATATTTGTGGCAAGCTGGGTGCTTACAATATATATGCTCCAGCTTGAGGGGGAGTGTTAGAATAGTTGTAAAAATAGTTCAGTATATATATAGTCCCACATCGTATGAGCTCAACCTATTAGGTCTTTTAGTCTCTTTAAATAGAGAGCTCGTGTACATTGTAATACACTATGTGATTATTCAATATACAATTATTCTTTAATCTTAAGTATAACTTTCATAGACGATCACTCTAGGGTATGTTGGGTATACCTTCTAAAGGATAAGTCTGACGCTGCATCCATTTTTAAAAACTTTCATGCTATGGTTCATACTCAGTTCCAGACCTCTATCCAAATTCTTCGAACTGACAATGGTACTGAATATTTTAATTCTGTTCTTGGAAACTATCTCAGCCAGCATGGTATTCTTCATCAAAGTTCTTGTCCTAACACCCCTCAACAAAATGGGGTGGCTGAAAGAAAAAATAGACATCTCCTTGAAGTTGCTCGAGCTCTTATGTTTACCATGCATGTCCCTAAATATTTGTGGGGGGAAGCTGTCTTGACTGCAGCATACCTCATCAATCGGATGCCTTCTCGTGTCCTAAATTTTCAATCTCCTTTATCTTGTCTTACCCACACATTTCCTTCTTTCCGGGCTCATTCTTCCCTTCCTCCCAAGTTGTTTGGCTGTGTGGCTTTTGTACATGTTCCTCCCCATCAAAGGTCCAAGCTCGATCCTAAGTCCATTAAATGTGTCTTCATAGGATATCCTCCTAACCAAAAGGGCTACAAGTGTTACTCATCTTCACTTCGTAAGGTCTTTGTTTCTATGGATGTCACATTTGATGAGAGACAATCTTTTTTTCCTTCGACTTCTCTTCAGGGGGAGTCTATTGGGGTTGATGAAGATAAGTCTTGGAAACCAAATGATTCTGTTGTTTTGCCTTTGCCGTTGGAGACAGGGGGAGTCATTATGCAAAAGACAGGGGGAGTTAATGTGTCAGATAATGGAGATCCTCCCGGGAAATGGGGAAAGTTTTACAGCAGGCGAGAATCACCTCAGGAGCCTCTAGACTGCCAGAATTCTGACTCGAGTCTTAGTTCCAGCAACACTGATACAGCCAACCTAGATGTGCCCATTGCTCTCCGAAAAGGTACTAGATCTTGTACTGCTCATCCTATTTCTCATCATATCACATATGAAAAGTTGTCCCCAGGTTTTCGTGCTTTCAACACTATGTTAGACAGTATAAAAATACCAAAAAATATCCAAGAAGCACTTGATGATCCAAAATGGAGGAATGCAGTCTGTGAAGAAATGGATGCACTCAACAAAAATGGAACTTGGGAGTCTGTAGCATTACCCAGAGGAAAGAAAACAGTAGGTTGCAAGTGGGTGTTCACAATAAAGTTTAATGCAGATAATAGCATCAACAAGTATAAGGCCAGACTGGTTGCTAAGGGATTCACTCAAACTCATGGGATAGACTATCAAGAGACATTTGCCCCTGTTGCCAAGCTTAATACTATCCGAGTTCTTTTATCACTTGCTGCAAATCTTGGTTGGCCCTTGCAACAATTGGATGTAAAGAATGCTTTCTTGAATGGTGATCTACATGAAGAAGTTTATATGGATCCACCACCTGGTTTTGAAAAAGGAGACGATTCAGTATGCAAGTTGAAAAAGTCTCTCTATGGTCTTAAACAATCTCCTAGAGAGTGGTTTGAGAAGTTTACTCAAGCTGTTAAGGGAAGAGGATTCCTCCAAGCTCAGACTGATCACACTTTATTTTTAAAACACTCTAATGGTGGTAAAATTGCTATTCTCATTGTTTATGTTGATGACATAATTGTCACAGGTAATGATTGTGAGGAGATAAGCTCTTTGAAGAAATGTTTAGCTAATCAGTTTGAACTGAAGGATCTTGGATCTCTCAAATATTTTCTAGGCATGGAAGTTGCTCGAAGTAAGGCAAGAATTTCTTTAACTCAGAAGAAATATATTCTAGACCTGTTACAAGAAACAGGAATGCTTGGGTGCAAGCCAGCAGAGACTCCAGTTGAACCCAATATTAAATTGGGAATCGAAGATGAGAAAGAAGTTGACAAAGAGCACTATCAGAGATTGGTGGGGAAGTTGATCTACTTATCTTACACTCGGCCTGATATTGCATTTGCAGTTAGCATGGTTAGTCAATTCATGCATTCTCCTAAGGAAAAACACCTGAGTGCAGTTTATAGAATTCTGAAGTACCTCAAAAACACCCCTGGTCGAGGATTGTTCTTTAAAAGGGGACACAAGAGGATGATTGAAATATATACAGATGCAGATTGGGCTGGCTCTGCATTGGACCGAAGATCCACTTCAGGATATTGCACCTATATTTGGGGAAATCTTGTGACCTGGAGAAGTAAGAAACAAACAGTTGTTTCCCGGAGCAGTGCAGAAGCAGAATTTCGGGCTCTAGCCCATGGTATTTGTGAAGGAATTTGGTTAAGAAGACTCCTTGAGGAATTGAAGATCTCTTTTTCCCCACCTGTCAGAGTGTATTGTGATAATAAGGCTGCTGTCAGTATTGCTCAAAATCCAGTTCACCATGACAGAACAAAACATGTGGAGGTTGATCGCCACTTTATCAAAGAAAAAATAGATGATGGAAGTGTATGTATGGTGTATATTCCTACCAAAGAGCAGATTGCAGATATTCTCACTAAGGGCCTACACCGGCCAGCCTTTGAAGACTTGATTGGCAAGTTGGGAATGATCAACATTTACCTCCCAACTTGAGGGGGAGTGTAGAAAATCAGAATTCAAATTCAAATATTTTTCCGTTTTTATTTATTAGGAATAATTAAGATTAATTAGGATTGATTGTTTTTTATTTCCTATTAGTTAGGATTAATTGTAATTAATTAGAATTAATTGTGATTAGGTTTAGTGAGTCATAGCTGAGTCATTCTTATGATTGTGATTAGGTTTGGTGAGTCATAGCTAAGTCATGCTTAGCTATTTTTTCTTGTATAAATACTCCTCATTCCTCATGTAATTTTTTCAATATCGATATACTGAAAACCTTTTTCAATACTAATAGCTAGTTTTGAAGGTACGAGAGTTCAATAGAGTAAGAGGTGAATAATTGGGATGATTAATAACTAGTTTTATAGGTAAGTCAACCACGTAATAAGTCGAAAAAGTATCAACGAGTTTTATGGGTGTACTAACAAGGTTTAGTATACCATTTTCATAAGCTCATCCAATCATGTGAAAAATTTCAAGACCGCTTATTATGCAGAATGACCATTTATAAATCAATATGCTTCACCATACAAGGAAAGCAATACTTACAATATCAGTGTCCTCAGTTCTAGTCCAAGTAAATTTCATCATTGGATGTTTTACATATAATGGTCGCTGAATCTTAGTAAGAGCTGTAAAACAATATAGTACTGAATAAGGGGACCCAGGTAAAATAAAGAATAAATAAACAGGGACTTCAAAAATCAACAATGGAAGTAAAACAAAAAGTAAAAAAATTTGAAAAAGCATGGGATTTATTAAGATGGGTTCTCTTAAGGAAAGTCAAAGAAATATGGGGCATTCAAGATTGATTTTCAGTTGCTTTTCTATGAGGATGTTGTATCCTTGAACTTATATTTTTATCAGAGAAGAATTTCATACCAAGAATATTGTCAGGAATGCCTTCGGACTGAAGAAGTTTCATTTGCAAACTCTTATTCTACATAATATGGCAGCTGTTAGTTCCAGCACTGGAGGCATCATTAGAGAATAGAGAAATCTTTAACTGTTAGATATAATATAAATCTATTAAAAGATATAATATAAATCTTTCAAGTGACTTCACCCAATAGCATAACCTTTCGGAAGAATTGAATCACGACATGGTATCAAAGCCTCTATAATCAAGTGATCTAGAGTACAATCCTTAGTGCCCCCATTCTTAAAAAGTAGAATTTCAACACAAGGTAGGTGAGCATGTGCATTTGCCACACTTCAAGCCCAAAGAGTTAATGAGTTGGGGGTTGTGTTAGATATACTATAAATCTGTTAAAGATAGATTAAAAGTCATTTATGTGCCCTCACCCGCTTAAACTTTTGGGAGAGTTGGTTCATGACATAAACAATTAGAGTTTTGCCAGAAAATATTCCATAAACTCTGATAAGAATGCTATGCATAGTATGACGCACGTTTCACAAATGGTATAACCAGATCAGATTCAGGTGACTAAGTTTAAAGGAGAAAAGACAGAGTTTCACATACCTCCTTTAGCAAGTTTATTTCGGGCTCAGATAAACCTCTCCTGAAATATTTTGCAAATATATAATCAAGAGAAGCAAGCCAAATCTGAAACAGTTATTTTTTGGCACAATTAAAATTATAAAATGTATATACCCACAATGATAACCAAACAAATTTTACATACTTATTAATGGTCTTTCATTCTAATAAAAGAAAAATTCATTAAAAAGAGAATAGGAATGCAGGAGGATCAGGAATCATCATAAAAAGATAAGAAAACCAACAAATAAAAATATTTCCTATTTTTGTTGAAATAGAAATTGTATAAATGGATACGTGCCACTTCATACAGTTAAAAAGCTTCTTCCTGTTTCTTTCTAGGGATAAACAGAGAATTTTTTATTAGATGAGAAATAAAGAAACAAGGTGAGGGAGGTTAAATACCCTCACAATAGAAAGCATCAATCATAAACAAAGCAAAGACAAAACAAGGACGCTGACAGCAAGGAGCTCTCCAATCTCTTTCCATGTATACCAAGCAGAGCAACTGAAAGAAACCTTGTGTTGATAAACAAAGCAAAAACACAACAAGGACACTAACAGCAAGGAGCTCTCCAATCTCTTTGCATGTATACCAAGGAGAGCAACTGAAAGAAACCTTGTGTTGATAAACAAAGCAAAAACACAACAAGGACACTGAAAGCGAGGAACTCTCCAATCTCTCTGCATGTATACAAAGGAGAGCACCTGAAACTGAAAGGAACCTTGTGTTGAACATGAGAGAGGCCAGGAAAGAAAATCCTGTCTTAAGAGAAAGTTTTAACTATAAGACAAATATATTCCTCTAAAACTAAAAGTTTGAGTATTTGACTCCAACCAATGAAACTGGGGCCCGGGAATGAAAAATATACCAACAATACCCCCTCCCCTGGCCATGCATGGTTCAAATACAATAAACACCTTCCTTTTACATGTGATACCGTAAGTAGCATTTTATTTTGGGATGTGTTAGAGAATAGTATAACCCATTAAAAAACCCTCATCCACTAGCTTAAGCTTTTGGGTTGAATTGGTTCTACTTGAATATGAAATAATATGTTGTGTATTAATCTGATACAAAGAGTTACAATATATAGAGACCCTAATGGGCTTAAGTGAGAAGCCCAGAACTAATCCAAAAGAATATTTACAGATAGGAAGTAATATAATCATATCTATTCTAACACTCCCCCTCAAGCTGGTGCTTATATATTGTGAGCACCAAGCTTGCTACAAATGTATTCAACCCGAGGACCTCTAAGAGCTTTAGTGAAGACATCCGCTAGTTGATCATTAGAGTTGACAAAAGCTGTCTTGATTTCTCCTGACCGAATCCTTTCTCGAATGAAGTGACAATCAATCTCTATATGTTTGGTTCTCTCTTGAAATACAGGATTAGAGGATATATGTAGCGCAACTTGATTATCACAAATGCGTGTCATGGGTTGTTTCTGTTCACAAAGATGAAGCTCCTAAATCAACTGTTTTAACCAGATTAACTCACATGTAGTAATTGCTATTGCACGATACTTAGCTTCTGCACTAGATCGAGCAACAACAGGTTGTTTCTTGCTCTTCCAAGAAAATAAGTTTCCTCCAAAGAAGACACAATAGCCAGAAGTAGAGCGCCTGTCTGAGGGTGATCCTGCCCAATCAGCATCTGAATAACCACAAATTTTTGTATTTCCCTTATCCGAATACAACAAACCTTTTCCTGGTCTCCTTTGATGTATCGGAGGATCCTCACAGCAACATCCCAATGAGAATCACAAGGGGAATCAAGGAACTGACTAGCCGTACTAACAGCGAAAGAAATGTCTGGCCTAGTCACAGTAAGATAATTAAGCTTCTCAATTAGCCTCCGATAACAACCAGAATCAGATAACGGCTCCCCCTGTCCAGGCAATAACTTGACATTGGGATCCATAGGTGTATCAATTGGTTTACACCCCTACATACCAGTCTCTTCTAGGATATCCAAGGCATACTTCCTTTGAGAGATAGAAATGCCCTGTCTAGATTGTGCTACCTCAATTCCCAAGAAGTAACGCAGCTTCCCGAGGTCCTTTGTTTGGAATTGACTGAATAAATACTGTTGAAGGAGTTTTTGATGTCAAGTTGAAGGAGTGGCCAGTGACAAACAGCAGCAAGAGCAAGAAATAGGCGAACTGACGCCATCTTAGCGACCGGAGAGAATGTATCGCTATAATCAAGGCCGAAGATTTGAGTAAAACCCTTTGAAACTAGGCATGCCTTGAGTCGATCAACATGGTCAACAGGTCCAACTTTCACAGTAACAACCCAGCGACAACCAACTATAGACTTTCTGGAGGAGCAGAAACAAGGTCCCAAGTGCCATTGGAATGAAGTGCAGTCATCTCATCAAGCATCGCTTGGCGCCACCCTGGATGGGAAAGTGCTTCATCAGTGGTTTAGGAATAGAAACAGAAGAAAGACTAGAAACAAAGGTGAAATGAGGTGGAGAAAGACGGTCATAGCTCAAAAAGGTATAAAGAGGATAAGGGTTACGAGTAGTACGTGTACCTTTTCTTTGAGCAATGGGAAGAGTCTCTGGTGAAGGAGCCGAAAGGGAAGAATCAACAGCAGTGGGCGATGAGTCAGCAAGAGTCGAGTCGACAGGAGGCACAGTTTTGCGACGCTGATAGGAGAGAAGTGGACGGTCCTCAGGTATGGAAGCAACAGGTTGCTCATCAGGAATAGAAGCACCTGCAGCTGGCAAAGACAAGTCAAGAAAAGGAACAGGAAGAACATGATCAACCTGTGACAATTGAGATGGGATAGAATTCCAGGGTTGTTGATCAAGAAAAGTGACATCAGCGGAAACAAAGTAATGCTTAAGATCGAGAGAATAACAACGATAACTTTTTTGAAGACGAGAATAACCAAGAAAAATACATTTAAAGGCTTTGGATGTTAACTTATCCTCACCAGGAGTGAGATCATGAACAAAACAGGTACAACCAAAGACATGTGGGGATAGAGGATAGAGAGGAACATCTGGAAGCAATAAGTTATAAGGAATGTCATTATTAAGCACAGATGAAGGCATACGGTTGATGAGAAAACAAGAAGCGAGGATTGCATCGGCCCAGAAGTGAAGAAGAACATGCATGTGAATAAGAAGAGTTCGTGCAGTCTCAATGAGATGTCTGTTTTTACGTTTAGCTACTCCATTTTGTTGTGGAGTGTGAGGACAAGTAGTTTGGTGTAAAGTACCCTGTGTGGCTAAGAAATTAGAAAAGTCAACAGAAACATATTCCTTAACATTATCACTACGTAAAATACGAATAGAAGCACCAAAATGAGTATGACTTTAAGCAGAAATTTTTTGATAAATAGAAAATAACTCATAACGGTTTTTCATTAAATAAATCCAAGTACAACAGACACACTACGACTAGGACCCCAAATATTTGAATGAATAACTAAAAAAGGAGCATCAGCTCGTTTATTGACTCGATTAGCAAAGGAGAAGCGTATGTGCTTCCCTTGCTGACATGACTGACAATCTAAGTCTGAAGACCGGATAAAAGCAGAACCATCTTCTGCAATTTTGAAAGACTAGGATGCCCAAGGCGACTGTGGATGAGTTGTGAAGATTCTGTAAGAGAACAAGCAACTGAAGGACTCGGCACAACCAGGTACAACAGACCCCATGACTCACGACCCACTCCAACCGTCTTCCCCGTACCCAGGTCCTGCACAAAAACAGAATGGTTTGAGAAGGTGACAATACAGTTAAGAGAGTTGATCAATTTACTAACAGATATTAAATTATAAAGGATGTCAGGAATGTAATAGACAGATGTTAAGGTCAATGAGGAGGTTGGACAGATTTGTCCAATCATATGAACAGGGGCCTTAGTGCCATCAGCAAGAGTAAAAGAGGGTAAACTATCAGAATATGTAAGGGATGAAAAGAGTTCCTTATTACCACAGAGGTGATCAGTAGCACCTGAGTCAAATATCCAAGGACCAAGTGATGCAGAATGAGAAACACAAGCAACAGGATTACTAGTTTCTGAAGCAGAGGCCTGAGACTAAGGAGAGGCCTTCTTGAGAAGGGTCTGGAGTGCTGCATAGTCTTCAGAGGAGAGAGAGACTGTACCATTTGAAGCAGTATCCGATTGAGCTATATTAGCAGCATGAGAAGGTCGCAGGTGAGGATACTTTGTGTAGCAACGTTTCTCATAATGACCAAGCTGCTGACAATAATGACAACGAGGTCGCTGACCACGTCTTCCCTGGCCTCTACCACGACCACGTCCACCTCCAATGTTCCCACGAAAGTCAGTACGGGAAATTGGAGCAGTGGAATCAACAACAGCAGACGATGCAGGTGCGGATTTCTTATTAAGATTCAGATGACGCTGATACGTCATTGATAGATCAGGATCCCCACTAGTCAAGATAGTATCCCGGTCATTATCATATTCTTCAGGGAGACCAGAAAGTGTGGCAACCATAAAGAGACGTTGCACCTGTTTCCGATATGCAGAAGCATCAGTAGGGTAGGGCAACATATCCAAATATGCCTACATCAAAGATCGACTTTTGCCAACATATGTCTCCATCTGAGTGTCAGATGATTTGCGCAGATCCATAAACTGAGACATGATGGAATAGAGCTGCTGAACATCATTAGTGTAGAGGTGTTTTGCTTCCTCTCACACTTCAGTGCAAGTTTGAAAAGAATAGAAGATGTCAAAAACGACTGGATCAATAGACTGCCAAAGGATACTCAGAAACTGGTTGTCAAGCCTTTCCCAATCAGATTTTTCTTCCTTGGGAATATCAGTAGATTTAGTTGTGAAATGGTTCTCATGTCCCTGTCCAAAGAACCAAACTCGAACAGAGGTTGCCCAGTTCTTGTAATTAACAGAACCTTTCAGCTTTGAAGAGGTAATGGGCCCAACATTGGTGGAGATGACATTAAGGGAACTTTTGGCAGGACGAGAGGGAGAACTGGTCTCCAAGTGAACAGGAGAAGATGCTTCCATTATAATAAATCACAAGGATAAACAACCAATTGAATAGAAACTAACCCGACCGCGAATCAAGAAGAGATACGTACAAAAAGTGAGACCCACAAAGAACCAACCACAGATCTGGAAAGAGGAGGAGGAGGCGAGCTTCTCTGTCCAAGACCGACCGAAAATAGCTGTCGGAACAGTGCACACGCGCCGGCAGAAGGTGGCGCTTGAGCACCACGCGCAGAGGAGATGGGCGGCGCGTGACGGATGCGATGGTGGTCGGACTTCCACAGACTTGGTCGTCGGGAGGAGACGGTTCTGATCGCGTGTGGTCTGGGTTGAAAACTCGCCGGAAAAGAGTTAAAGAGAAACCATTGAAAAAATCTTGTTGCTAAATGGTTTTACTGAAAATTTGGTTTTTCATACAGACCAATAGGATTGATCATTGATCTATATAGTCAATCCCATCTAGTTAGATAAGGTTTCATGGTTGCTTGGGATAAAACAATGTTATCAATGCAAAATGGCAGATTATTGCAGCAGGCTGAGAACCCACCATAATTTTATGGCAGATGACATGGCAGCCACTAGCAAAAGAAAGGCAGACATGTTAGAGAAAAGAAAAAATTGATAAAAGCACTTATTGGGCATAATCTCCAATGCGTGTACATGTGTTGGATGTAACCCCAAGGTCATAGTTATAGGTGAATAGCACACTTGTAGAGATAGGTGGCTTATATGGTAATAGCAAATATGTAGCTTGGCTATTTTGAAAAATATTACATGTAACATAACAAAGATAAGGTATATCTAGTACCATTCAAAATGACAACAATACACAAACAAAATGGTTAATATATATGAAATGAAAAAGACAAAAATAGATGAAGAAGAAACTTGGTTGAAAGTTGAAACATAGACAAAGAAAAGAGATACAAGGCAGAAATCAGAACCCAAGAGGAATCAAGTAAAAGCAACGACATGTAGAAACAGAATGAAGCAAAAGCAAAACCACGCTGACACATGAAAGAAAAACAATAATGACCAATAAAACATTATGCACACCTTGACTGAGATGCAGAGGAATAATGACACTTTAACTGCCTAATAAGGTTTATGCTTAGTGTAGAAAATAGAGCTTGGTTATTTTTAGAGGTAAAGTAGCTCCTTACAGAAGATCTGACACAAGTTATTGTACTTTTGTGTGGGGGAACTTAGTAATTTAATTAAGTAAAAAATGAGTTGTTGGTAGGAGTAGCGCAGAGGCAGCATTCAGGGCTTTAGCGCTTGAAATATGCAGAGGGATGTGGATATTAAGGCTACTCAAGGAATTAAACTTCAGCCATGACTTGCCAATGAAGGTGTTCTGTTCTGTGATAACATGGCAACAATAGGGACAGACAAGAACCCTATTCATCATGACAGGACAAAATACATTAAAACTGAGAAACACTTCATTAAGGAGAATAGTGACTTAAGTCTTATTGAATTGAATCATGTCTCCACTGGTTCTCAGTAGCATATGTGATAACAAAGGCCTTGTCAAGAGTTAGAATTGAATAGTTGAGCCACAAGTTGGGAATGATCAACATCCACTCCCTAGCTTGAGGGAGAATGTTGTCAGTCAAATGTAATTTTCCCCATAATCCATTCTGATTTATTTTGTTTTTATTCTTGTTAGTCACATGTGATTCTCAACGTGATCCATTCTAAGAATAACAATAATTCCTAACTATTGCAATATTTCGAAAATTTGCTTTTCCACACTGCATCACTCATACGATCTACAATATAATTTCATTTTAGTTTCATAATTGTTTTTATTTATGGAGTTGGACAATTTATAAAGTCTTGTTGCAACTATGCTAAAGCTACAACAGTTCAACTTATATGAGAACAAAAGTAATATTTCTTTTTATTGGCTTGGAACTTTGGTCACTTATTTGTTCTTATAAAGAACTCTCATGGTTCGCATCAAATGGACTCCATTCACATTTTGGTATGCGAAACAAAGGCACTCCAGACAACAGTAGAGTTAGCATTCCAGGCTTTTGAACATCAACAAATCTAGTCTGCATTTACATCCAAAACTCTCTCTGTAGAACCATATCAAGTAAATTCGAATTCACTCAATTATAAGCCTTCTCAATACCAATCATAGAGCCTAGAACAACTTTTTCTTCTCCAGTATCACCAACGACCTCATTGATAATAGAAGTTGCATCCAAAATCTGTCTTATACAAGCACTTCGTGACTAAAGTATAGTGTCCTCCAAAGCCTTGCTCATCCAAGCTAATAGCACCTTATTCACGACCTAGTACTCAATAAAAGCTATCATTTTAAAGAATACACACAAAACAAATATTTATCATGTAAAAGAGATGGCCTTATTGGAGTTTATAGTAAGTGAGAATATTTTACAAAAGTACTCACCGATACCCATAATTAGGCTTCCTTTCATCACGCTTGGGATTCAAAATGAAAATATTATATGCATTTTCAAGTTGAAGGTATTCAATCAGGCTAGCCAAGAGACCATCTATCATGTCCACATCTACTTGCCAACGATCGCCATCATTAGCCCTGCAAGGAAGAATGTGGAAGAATAAAAGAAAGCAAGAAATGCAAAAGACAAAACAAAAGAAGCCACACTATGCTTCCTAAAGAAATCTTAGAACAAGAAATTAGGAAGAGGGAGAAACAGAACACAAGTGTATTTTTCTCTTATTATATCCAGCTCTACACTGTTACATTTATACAAGAGAGTATTTAATACTATAGCAACTAATTTGCAACCTAATAACCAATAGAGTTAATGCTACCTAGGAGAAGAGAAAATAATAAATACTAAAACACCTCTGATACAGAGGAGAGAGGAAAACTAAATACAAATCATTTTAGCTTCCTAGAGAAGTGCATAAGACAAAAGAAAAGCAGAACAGTTAGCAAGCATATCTGAACATCACATTAAATAAATTTTGACTCTAAATGGATCTGAGTTTCAACACTTCCCCTCAAGTTGGGCTGTATATGTTTATCAAGCCCAGCTTGCTACTTAGCTCCTCAAACTTGACTCTTGGCAGCACTTTGGTTAGGATAGCAGCCACTTGAGAATTGGAGGACACATAATGTAAGGCAACGATTTCTTCTTCTATTTTTTCCTTGATAAACATGCTTAGTCCTATCATGATAAATTGGATTTTTTTACTTTGACAATAGTTGCCATTTTGTCACAGAAGATTTGCATAGGTAAGTTGTTATAGAGTTTTAATTCCTTTAGTAGTTGTTAGAATAGTTGTAAGAATAGTTCAGTATATATAGTCCCACATCTTATGAGCTCAGCCCATTAGGTCTTTTAGTCTCTTTAAATAGAGAGCTCTTGTACATTGTAACACACTATGATTATTTAATATACAATTATTCTTTAATCTTAAGTTGGTATCAGAGCTTTTTCGCTCTGGGGATCCGCTTTCGCTAAAACCCTAAGCTCACTGCTTAGGTGTTCTCTTCTACTTTGCCATGCATTCTTCCAGCGAGTTTTTCATCAAGCCGTGTGTCCCTCCGGCAGATTCTCTAAGTTGTGTGTCTCTCCGACTTGTTTCTTCAACTGTCAGAAACACTGCCCGCCGCCAACAACCGCCGTTCGTCACTGTTCAGGCCACCGGAGCACTGTTCCGGCATCAATTTCAACCGGAAAGCCTGCGATCAGAGCTCTTTCTCTCCGGCGACCAAGTCTGTGGAAGACCCATCATCAGAGGAGTCCCCACGCGCCTCTCCTTCTCCCTGCGCGTGGTGCTCACGCACCACCCTTCACCGGCGCGTGTGCACTGTTCCGGCGTCTTTTTCCGGTCGTTCCTGGACAGACTAGCTCGGTTTTTCCTCCTCTTTCCGGATCTGTGCTTGATTCTTTGTGGGTCTCACTTTAGACGAGTGGTTCTCCTTGATTGGATATCGTTTGCCTTCGTTTACGGCTTTTATATTTTGTCTTTAAATGGCAGCAGCATCTCCTGATCTCTCAGAGGTTAACTCTCCTTATATTGGGCCCATTACGTCTTCCAAACTGAAGGATTCAGACAACTACAAAGATTGGGACACCTCTCTTGTTGCAAATATAGCTCAATCAGACAATGCATCATTTGGTTCAGGTTCTCTCTCACCTGCGGACTATGCTGCGCTCCAAACTCTTCTCAGGAAGGCTTCTCCTCAGTCTCAGCCATATACTGGTAATCTCGTTGCTTGTGTTTCTCATTCTACATCACTTGGCACTTGGATATTTGACTCAGGTGCTACCGATCATCTCTGTGGTAATAAGGAACTCTTTACATCTCTTACTTATTCTGATCATTTACCTTCTTTTACCCTTGCGGATGGAACCAAAGCCCCAGTTCGTGGGATTGGACAAGCTCGTCCGACCACTACCTTGGCCTTGACATCTGTTTATTACATTCCTGGCATCCCTTATAACTTAATTTCTATTAGTAAATTGATCCACTCCCTCACTTGCACCATTACTTTCTCTAACCATTCTGTTTCTGTGCAGGATCCGGGTACGGGAAAAATGATTGGAGTGGGTCGTGAGTCACGGGGACTTTACTATCTGGATGTGCCTCGTCCTTCAGTGGCATGCTCTCTCACAGAATCTCCACAACTTATCCACAGTCGCCTCGGTCATCCAAGTCGTTCAAAGTTGCAGAAAACGGTTCCTCTTTTATCTGGTCTTCAGTCTTTAGATTGTGTGTCATGTCAACAAGGGAAGCATACACGCTCCTCTTTTGCCAGTCGAGTCAATAAACGAGTTGATGCCCCTTTCTCTCTTGTTCATTCAGATATCTAGGGTCCAAGTCGTACCTTGTCTGTTTTAGGTTTTCGGTATTTCATTACCTTTATTAATGATTTTTCCCGTTGCACTTGGATCTATTTAATGAAAAATCGTTCTGAGTTATTTTCCATTTATAAAAAGTTTTCTTCAGAGATTCATACTCAATTTGGTGTTTCTATTCGTATTCTACGTAGTGATAATGCTAAGGAATATGTTTCTATTGATTTTTCTAATTTCTTGGCCACCCAAAGTACTTTACATCAAACTACTTGTCCTCACACTCCACAACAAAATGGGGTGGCTGAACGTAAAAACAGACATCTCATTGAAACTGCTCGTACCCTTCTTATTCATTTGCAGGTTCCCCTTCACTTCTGGGCAGATGTTGTACTCATCTCTTGTTTTCTCATCAATCGCATGCCTTCATCTGTGCTCAACAATAACATTCCTCATAATCTATTGCTTCCAGATGCTCCTCTTTATCCTCTAACTCCACATGTCTTTGGTTGTACTTGTTTTGTTTATGATCTCACTCCTGGTAAGGATAAGTTAACATCTAAAGCCTTTCAGTGTATCTTTCTTCGTTATTCTCGTCTTCAAAAAGGTTATCGTTGTTATTCTCCCGATCTTAAGCGTTACTTAGTTTCCGCTGATGTCACTTTTCTTGATCAACAACCCTTTAATTCTATCCCATCTCAGTTGTCACAGGTTGATCATGTTCTTCCTGTCCCTATTCTTGACTTGTCTTTGCCAGCTGCAGGTGCTTCTATTCCAGATGAGCAACCTATTGCTTCTACACATGAGGACCGTCCACTTCTCACCTATCAGCGTCGCAAAATTGTCCCTCCTGTCGACTCAACTCTTGCTGACTCATCGCCCACTGTTGTTGCTTCTTCCCCTCCGGATCCTTCACCAGAGGCTCTTCCCATTGCTCAAAGAAAAGGTACACGTACTACTCGTAACCCTTATCCTCCTTATACTTTTTTGAGCTATGACCGTCTTCCTTAACCTCATTTTACCTTTGTTTCTAGTCTTTCTTCTATTTTTATTCCTAAGACCACAGGTGAAGCACTTTCCCATCCAGGGTGGCGCCAAACGATGCTTGATGAGATGACTGCACTTCATTTCAATGGCACTTTGGACCTTGTTTCTGCTCCTCCAGAGAAGTCTATAGTTGGTTGTCGCTGGGTGTTTACTGTGAAAGTTGGACCTAATGGCCATGTTGATCGACTCAAGGCCCGCCTAGTTGCAAAGGGTTTTACTGAAATATTCGGTCTTAATTATAGCGATACATTCTCTCCGGTCGCTAAAATGGCGTCAGTTCGCCTATTTCTTGCTCTTGCTGTTGTTCGTCACTGGCCACTCCTTCAACTTGACATCAAAAATGTCTTTCTTCATGGTGATTTACAAGAAGTTTATATGGAGCAACCACCTGGCTTTGTTGCTCAGGGGGAGTCTAGGAAGGTGTGTCGTCTTCGCAAATCCTTATATGGTCTCAAGCAGTCTCCTCGGGCATGGTTCAGTCGCTTCAGTTCTGCTGTTCAAGAGTTTGGCTTAATTCGCAGTAAAGTTGACCACTCTGTGTTTTATAGGATCACATCTTCTGATAAGTGCATCTATTTGTTAGTCTATGTTGATGACATCATCCTCACCGGGAGTGATCAAGCTGGAATTCGTCAGTTAAAACAGTATTTATTTAGTCAATTTCAGACAAAGGACCTCGAGAAGCTGCGTGACTTCTTGGGAATTGAGGTAGCACAATCTAGACAAGGCATTTCTATCTGTCAAAGGAAGTATGCCTTGGATATCCTAGAAGAGACTGGTATGTTGGCATGTAAGCCAGTTGACACACCCATGGATCCTACTATAAAATTACTACCCGAACAAGGAGAACCATTATCTGATCCTGGACATTATCGGAGGATGATTGGGAAGCTCAATTATCTCACTGTGACTAGGCTGGACATTTCTTTTGCTGTTAGTGTCGCTAGTCAGTTTCTTGATTCTCCGTGTGATTCTCATTGGGATGCTGCTGTTAGGATCCTTTGTTACATCAAAGGAGCACCAGGGAAAGGTTTATTATATTCAGATCAGGGAAATACAGAAATTTGTGGTTATTCAGATGCCGATTGGGCAGGATCACCCTCGGATAGGCGCTCTACTTCAGGCTATTGTGTTTTCTTTGGAGGAAACCTGATTTATTGGAAAAGTAAGAAACAAACTGTCGTTGCCTGATCTAGTGCAGAGGCCGAGTATCGTGCAATGGGAGTTGCTACCTGCGAGCTAATCGGGTTAAAGCAGTTGATTCGGGAGCTACATCTTTGTGAACAGAAGTAACCCATGACTCTTATTTGTGACAATCAAGCTGCACTACATATATCCTCTAATCATGTATTTCATGAGAGAACCAAACATATAGAGATCGATTGTCATTTCATTCGAGAAAAGATTCAGTCAGGAGAAATCAAAACGGAATTTGTCAACTCCAATGATCAACTCGCGGATGTCTTCACTAAAGCTCTTAGGGGTCCTCGGGTTGAATATATTTGTGGCAAGCTAGGTGCTTACAATATATACGCTCCAGCTTGAGGGGGAGTGTTAGAATAGTTGTAAGAATAGTTCAATATATATAGTCCCACATCTTATGAGCTCAGCCCATTAGGTCTTTTAGTCTCTTTAAATAGAGAGCTCTTGTACATTGTAACACACTATGATTATTTAATATACAATTATTCTTTAATCTTAAGTGTAGTCTCAGTATTCA